CTGCATGCAGCCAATCAGAAACCAGCTGATCATGGTTTCAGCTGTCGATATATACAGTCTAGTCACTGACCACGAAAGCGCGCACTTATCTTGGATGATTGAATCCAGCTTTTCTAATCCACAACACAGGTGGGGGTTGAAGAACTGAAACCTCTGGATAATCTTAGCTGGCATTAGAAAATCCAGGACTGCTCATTTGATTGAGGATCTGTTTAGCAACATACAAAGAACACCCCCCTGGTGAGATTTATGAATCAGAATCAGAATAACCTTTACTGGCCAGGTGTGCTGTACACACAAAAAAACTGACAGTGTATGTGCGCACATTCATTTCAGTTTACAAAAGTCTAAATACTGTACCTCTCAGCTTCTGCTTTCTCCATTTCTTCCTTTTAGCCCTCCTCCCAAGCCCCCACACCCCACCACCTTAGTATCTCATGCACTATCCCTCTGTCAGTCTGGAGGTATTACTGCCAGTTACATCATAGCCGCTTTTCAGCCCAGTCAGAATGATGCAACATCATGCAGACAGACAGACTACACACACACACACACACACACAGTTTGTGTTTTTGTCCATCCCTTTCCTTCTCCATCTTGTTGATAAGACATGGGGATAGGAGAAGAGGAGAGGAAGGGGAGACAGAAGCAGAGTGTTGATTCAGGAGAGGTTCATCCTGTTATCAACACACTCACTTCCACACTGTAATACACATCCAAATGTATGGTAGAGAAACAACTGGTATCTGGGGGAAACCTGAAGCAAATATCTATTATTATAGTATTCCAGGTCCACACTGGTTGGCATACTGAAAGCAGTCAGTGCACTGCACAGCTGTGCTGCAATTGATTGTATCTGCGTATAAAGTGAAAGTGAGCGCGTCTAAAATATTACTCATATCCCTCATTTTCTTAAGTAGAGTAAGTCAAAAGTCAGTAAGTCAGTTTAGGCTACATTTGAAGTACTGTACACTAACAGTTTCACATATTAGTCAACTAGTTTGACTTCAAACTACTCACTGATTATTGATTATCACTATCAACAACCCTTCCTGACTTAGCAAAGGCTGTTCTTGTGGCACAGAAAGTCGGTGCCTTTCTTTACTTAGCAACAACCTGAGTAACCTGAACCCTGAAGAAATGGCAGGAAAGTCTGGGCCTAAATAAACTGCAAACCTACTGCCAAGTCAGGTAGAATTTGGCTGTTACTGGGAATTCACATACTGAAAGTGAGACATTAGTGTCTTCAGTGTCTGTAATAAGAATAGCTGTCTCTCTCGCAGCAGGACAGCGGCCAGACAAACGGTCTTCATCGGGCTCACAGATGTGCTGGACAAAATATTTTTCATGTCAGCTTGTCAAATAGAAACCAGTGTTTTTATGTATGGCTTTATTGATTTAACTGATTTTTCCCATCTCACTACAGGGAGCAGCATAAGGTGAAATGTTCAGTGTCAGTGCAAGAGCCTGATAGGTAACAGTCAGAAAATGATGGGATGAATATCAGTGATGATGCAACATTTAAATTGTGACCTATTTAAACTGATGATATATAATGTCGCACTGCCATTTGGATTTGTCATAATAAAAAGACAGGCAACACACATGTATGTCTGTTGAAACAATGCTCTTAAAGGCACTTTTTATTTCTGAAACATGGGTACAGCCTAGTTTATCAACAAGTTTGAGCTTCTCTCGGCAGTTAACCACAGCGCATGCCATCTCACCTGCCTCAGCTTCACGCCGGTTGATTACCACTCATTGCCTTCACCTGTTGCTTGTTATCTCCCAGTCTCTAGGCTTTATATTCTTCCCTCAGTTAGATCCTGGTTCATCCGCTCACCACACCCTGCCTGTTCCTGTGGATCCGTGTACGTGTCCTGTTTTAGCAACCGTTGGACTGTTCCACCTTGCCTCTCTTTGGATTTTGGACTTGCCTCTTGGTTTGTTCCTTTGGGCTTGTTTGTTTAGTATTGTTTTGACTTTGTTACCTAGCTCCCTGACTGAACTGTTTTGTAGTTATAAATATTTGTTATGCTTCGTCAGGTTGAGCTCCTTAAGTCATATCCTTTGTCTCTCTGTCCTTTAATTATATTAAAATCTACTGAGAACTATTGCTCAGCCTGTGTCTGCATTTTGGGTCCTAACCTAGTCTGACACTTGACATATTAAGGTGAACTAATGGTTCTGAGTAAAGGCTACTAATATGAGCTTGATTTGTCTGCTGCATTCATTTAAGGTTCTGTGTTAATACAACTTGACCTGTTTAGTTTCACTTGTGTAAAAACCTAAATGGTTGAAGGCAACACGTTTCCACATAATGTTCTAGTAATGTCAGCTAATCCAGGCAAAAGGTGTGGCACGATGTCTCAAAAACTGTATAAAGTCTGACTATGGTAACCATAATGAAATGGTTATTTCTAAGACATACATGTACTGATCAGTATTCAGTCAGTCAACCGGGAGCACCTCAACTCAGTGAGGTCATTAGCAGCAGTTCTGTACATTGACAGTAGGTTCAAATTATCAGACTGACTTATTAGGAGTAAACTGAACTTAAATAAACAAAAATCCATTCAAACTCCACAAGGAATGTATATATTCCATACACGAAATACAAACTGCACACAGAACAAACTCCAGGCCAGCTAACAGAGCCTTCATGACAGTGACAGTACTAACTAGAATTACAACAACATGGGATTTTCATGGTATGATAACCACTACGACATGGGATTTTCATGGTATGATAACCATCTCAGAAAATGTGACTGTATTACACAATTACTATTATCAGCTACAATGACCCTCAAATAGATGAAAAGTTTTTTGCTTTGTTTTTTTATTGCAAGTGACTGTGTCTGTTGAATGAGCTGGACTGCAGCTCTAGATTGACCCTGACGAGTAAACAGAATTATAAACATAATTTTTAATAACATACCGCATATCTAAAACAGCGAGAAGGTTCCGGGTTCGGGCCCCACCCGGGACCTTTCTGTGTGGAGTCTGCATGTTCTCCCCGTGCTTGCGTGGGTTCTCTGCGGGTACTCCAGTTTCCTCCCACAGTCCAAAGACATGCAGCTTAGGTTGATTGGTGTCTCTAAAATTGCCCATAGGAGTGCGTGTGCGCGTGTGTGGTTGTTCGTCTATGTGTTAGCCCTGCAATGGATTGGTGACCTGTCCAGGGTTTACCCCGCCTTCGCCCGATTGCCGGCCAGGATTGCTATTAGACTGTATATTCTATCTTTATATTAACAGCCTATCACTCATGCATTGATGTAAAAGCAGACCGTTGTAGATGGCTGAGGTGGAGCTGTTTTGAACTATTTTGTATCCAAGTGCAACTATTGATTATTTTCATTCAGGATTAATCTGCTGATTATTTTCTCCATTAATCAATTGACTGGTTTGTAAAACTTATGACAATAGTGAGAAATTTCTTAAATAATTATCAAAACAGTTGTCAAGCTTATACGTCCATGGCAGCACAGCCAGACTGATCCTGCCTGTACCTCCACTTGTGGGTATGTGCACCCGCATGCGCACACACACACACACACACACACACACACACACACACACACACTTATAGATGCAGCCACTCAGAATGGCTCTTCCCAGCCAAATGGCTTTCACATGGTTAACATGCTTAAGTTACCTTAAGAAATACTAAATAGTAGCTAAATATTAAAGTATGTTAGAATTAAGAAGACAACTTCTTTATGAACATCATTTCACATCTGATATATCACACAGCTGCTGTCTCACCCGTGTTAGGTAATTTCTTAGTCAGATAGATATTGATGGTCCGCCTCGTCTCTCTGAGTTCCTGGTTAAAAGAACTGGGTTATATCTTTCACCCGCATGTACAGTGCCTTGCAAAAGTACCTCTTGAACTTTTCCACATTTTGTCATGTTACAAACACAAAAATAAATGTATTTTATTGAGATTTTGTGTGATAGATCAACACAAAGTATCACATAATTGTGAAGTGGAAGGAAAATGATATGTGGTGAACAGTAAAAGTATTGACTCAGGGAGGATGAATACATATGCATGCCACACTTTTCAGATTTTTATTTGTAAAAAATCTTGAACACCACATATCAAGGGTAGTAGTTCAAGGGGTAAGAATACTTTTGCAAGGCACTGTATGTGGACTTTGTAGGTCCTGCAGAATCAGCAGGCCAGCGTGTAAGGACAAGCCCGGACATGTATCCTGTACCGCTGTATTTTCTCAACTTTTCCCCATCAACCATAGTTGGTAACATGATGTAAATGCTCCATTCATGGAGCCAAGCAACATCTTCTTGTCCAACCTCATCATGTTACATACCCCCAATGACAGGATCAGCGACACAACATGTAAAGGGCAACCAATGTTGAATTGTACAAAAAGAGGTACGGGATTCACGGAATATGATTAATTAATACGTTAACACATGGGGTTGGAAGATTCACAGAATATGACTAATTAATACGTTAACACATGGGGTTGGGGAGGCCAGGAAAGCAATCAATTAACGCATTAACACACCTAACCCCTTGCTTTGACGAGTTAATTAATTACTTTCCTGGAACTCTTAACCCCATGCAGCTCTCCTGCTTCCCATTCAGATAATGTGCCTCTTCTTTACCCTCCCTCAAGTCTCAGTTACATTTTAACTCTTGCACATATTATGTTGTCCAGGTGAAGCTCCTCCCTGCCAGGTGAAACAGGGGGACAGATACGGCCAGACTGACATGAAAACCAAAGGCTGGTTCTGTTGAAGGTGTCACATTATTGATGTATTTAAGTTTGCATTTTACCTACAATGGAAGTAGTACCTACAGCAATCAGATAAATGCAGTGAAGTATGAGGTATAACACTCGTCTTTGAAATGTAAGCAAGTACAGTCTCATATACAGTAACAAGAGGACAGATATAGTAGCAACAAAGTATATCTCGTCAAATGTACAGATGACACTGATTGATGGTAGGGTGTGAGTTAGTGTTACCTGGAAAACATGTCTGCAGGTGTTCAGTTAGGGCCTCCTGAGTGACAGGTTTATGGGCAGAATTCATAGCAGAGATAGCCAATAGCAATACCTCTCCCAAAGGGATGAACTGCGATTGGCTGATGGGGGACATGCTGATTGGTGACACATCACCTGGGAAAAAACAGAATTCAGTCACTTTGAGCAATACATGGTTAAAAATAGCTAGATCTGTAGGACAATATGAACATGATGCAGTTTAATGTCTCAGATGTACCTCAGAAACTGAATAAATAAAATCCTTGGCTACATGTCAGTAATGAAGGAAAATGCCATCCAATCCAACAATTTTAAATGTTTCAGAAACAACTTTATTGGCCAAGTATGTTTGACAAACAAAGAATATGTTAAATATACTGGTAATGCACTTGGGATGCTGTAAAAATACATTTTAAAATGTTGCCCCCAAAGCTCTAAATGGCCAAAACTTTTTACAGCATCTGCAACAAGCAATAAGTATGAGTCAAGGGCCCATGCAAAAGATCTCTAGATATTCTTAACAAATATTAGGGTCTTGTGTTTTGTAATAAACAAACATCACCCAGTGCAGGTGTGTGTTTCCCTGATGTGGTTTTAATTGTTTTAGATCAACAATGAAGGTTTGTGGCACAGACGAATAAGTTAATCCAGGACTAACAGACATTAGCCGTGAGTAAAGGCAATTCATTGTTGCTTTTACTCTCTTTCTGGGGAGTGTTGAAAATACTGTTAAAACAGAAAATGACTGGCCTTATCCTTAAAGTAAAAAAACTGAATAGAGGACTTTCTCTTTGTCAGTATTTTTACTCAGCTCTAGTTTGCTTCAGGCAACAAATCACTAAATCCGACACTGCTCTGAGCAGTAACATACCTGCATAACATACAGTACCTGGGGCAACGTCATCGAGAAATGACCTGAGAGCTAGGCAGTTATAAACTGCATTTTTCTGGCTGTGTGTGATGGACTTTTGCTGTTTGGACACAATGCTTGTGTGTCCATTCCAAGCTACACAGGCACGAACGCTTCCAGCTACACAAGGAGACAATATGTTTTTCATTGAAGGAATTGTTTTAATAATGACAAAAAAATGTGAAGGCCATTCGTCATTTTGACACATTAGAACACAGACAATCTACACTAACTCAAAGTTAGGCTAGAGGTGGAGAGGGTGAGCAGCTTCAAATACCTGGGTGTCCACATCAGTGAGGACCTCACTTGGACACTTAACACCACACAGCTGGTCATAAAGGCCCAACAGCGGCTGTACTTCCTGAGGAGGCTGAGGAGGTCTGACATGTTGCCTGGGATCCTTTGCAACTTCTACAGCTGCATCATTGAGAGCACTTTGACCAGCTGCATCACTGTCTGGTATGACAGCACTACTGCTATGGACCACAAGCGCCTGCAGAGAGTGGTAAAGACTGCAGAGAAGATCACTAGGACTCCACTGCCCTGTCTGCAGAGCATTTACAACCGCTGAGTGTGTAGGAAATCTGCCTCCATCCTCAAAGATCCCACCCACCCCCAGTACGGACTGTTTGCCTCCCTACCCTCTGGCCAGAGGTTCAAAAGTGTGAAATGCAGGACCTCTAGACTGAAAAACCCTTTCTTTCCCTCTGCCATCAGACTCCTAAACAGCTGAGGAGTTTATTACCAGGAAATACATCATGTACTGTTTACATTCTCAGTTTGTACATGCATAATTGCACATTGACTGTTGACTGCTGCACATGCTGCTCCCATGCAGCATACATTCTCTGTTATATTCTTATATATTTTTATCATATTGCTGCATTTGCCGCTTAAAGTGCCTTAGATTTTGTGTTACTTATTTATATACTTTATATTTCATTTGTATTTTGTGGCATTCATGTGGACGGCAAAGTAAGAATTTCATTGTACAGGGAAACACGTTTCCTAACTGTGCATATGACAAACACTTTGAACTTGAACATATCGTTTCACATTGTTATTTGGCTGTTTTATGTTTGCTCTTTACCAGCCATGTTAGGAAATGAAATGGCTCAAACAAACGTCGCAGACTATTGTTATAGTCTGTGAGTGTTGTTACAATCAGTAAATGTTAAATCCTTATTTTCATCACTCCAGTATGAAATAAATCTGCCATGACCATTTTCATTTTTAAGTCAAGTAAGTAAAAATAATGATTCTCCAGTTCAGGGAACATGTTGCTATTACATACAGTGAATTATTTAATCTATGTATTAACAAGCGCTTGCTTTAATTATATTTTAGAAAGACTTTATTTCTGAGACTGTAAAAAACAGATTACCAGTTAAGACTTGCTGGGGAATAATGCCCTGCAGTGCATACTTTGTTTTCAATAGAAGATGACTGAATAAAATACTGAAATATAAATGACAAGCTTTGAAATTTTATTTTGGGTAAATTCATTATATTAATTGAGTAATAGGTGCAGCCCTAGCTGTCAGATCAAAATTACAAGGGCCATGAGAAAACTAGTGACAGTCACCTCTGCAGCAGGCCAGGCTACAGCAGGTCAGTTGAATTCAATTCAGTTAACCTAGCTTCTTGTTGTTCATATTTTAATGGTAATTGTATAATTTTGTAAAACTGTGACTGTTCATATCATGGTTCAAAAAGTAATCTGCTTCAACTGGTGCTGACATGAAAAGTCGCTGCTTGTTCTGTACATTATTTAAAAAATGAAATGAAAATTAAATGTTACTACATGTTTTAAAATTAAAAAATTAAAATGAAAGTGATAAATTATGATGGTATTTTTATAACTCGGTCTGTCAAAATGACAGACAATGAAAAACATGACCTCTGCAAGTGCAAGTGTTATTTCACGTTTCCAATAGGGATGCTAATGCAAAAACTGTACTGTCACGCCACTCTGAAGTCGCTGTTACAGAAGAACGACTGTGTCTGACGTCCAAAAAACGAGCTGTGTGAAGCTGTTCATGTTCATTGGCATCTTTATAATATGGCAAAGGCATGCCTCTGTTCTTTTACTAGAGACAATTTAGCAGAAGCAAAACGATGCACCCCTTGTTGGCAGCAAATTTTGCTCCCAACAATCCTGTGACCTGATATCACGGTGCCATGTATGGCTGTCTTGGTAACGTGCACTCTCATGTGTTTGCTGTTTTTCCTCGTTTTCTCTGCCTTTTACAACCCATCCCATTCCTTCACTATTGGAGAACTATTAAACATCAGACAGCTCACTCCGTACACCCTTTCTCCAATTCTTGATAATGCAAAAGACTGTATGGGCATTCTGGTCGGAGAGGCAGACCTGGAGAAAATGCAGGTGAGGGAAGAGAGAGGGGGCCCTGGTTAAGCTATGACAGAAAGGGCTCGGACACCACTCCTGTTTATCCACCTAGCGAATCTCTGCTCTCTAGCCAACAAAATGGATGAGCTCTTTCTCGTTAACCAGAATAGCTCTGGCTTCATACCCTCGGTGGCTTTATGTTTCACAAAGACTTGGCTCCGTGATTCCATCTTGGACAATGCGAGGCAAATACCAGGCTTCCAGGTATACAGAGCGGATCATGTAAAGTAGTTATCAGGGAAGATGAGCGGAGGAGGAATCTGTTTCCACATAAATGAAGGCTGGTGTACAGATGTCACATTTTTTGAAAGAGCTTGCAACACAAACTTAGAGACTCTCTTCATCAATTGCAAACCATTTTACTGTCCCAGAGGATTTTAGTCATTCAAGTGTACATAAAGTAAGGCCCGCAGGGCCACACTAGCACCTGGCCAACAAGATAACTAGCATGGAAATGAAACATCCCAACTCCCCACTCATTGTCCTAGGGTATTTTAACAGAGCAAATCTAAGACAAGAATTGCCCAAATGCAGACAGCACATCAGTTGTTCCACCAGGGACAAAAACACATTGGACCACTGCTACACAGCAATAAAGGACGCCCATCGCTCTGTCCCCCATGCAGCCCTCGAATTTTCTGATCACTGCATGGTCCATCTTATACCAACATATAATCAGAAACTTAAAGCTGTGATGCCTCCACCTAGTCACAGTAACTGTCACATCCCTCGAAACACAGGCCGAGGTGGTGGCGTGGCAGCGATCTTTGACTCAAGCCTATTAATCAACCCTAGACCTAAACATAGTTATAACTCATTTGAAAGTCTCACCCTGAGTCTCTCACACCCAAACTGGAAAACTCAAAAGCCTGTTCTGTTTGTTATTGTATACCGTCCACCTGCTCCTTATTCAGAGTTTTTAAGTGAATTCTCAGACTTTCTGTCTGATTTAGTGCTTAGTACAGATAAAATAATCATAGTAGGCGACTTTAATATTCATGTAGATGCCGACAATGACAGCCTCAACAATGCATTCTGTTCATTATTAGACTCAGTTGGCTTCTCTCAAACTAAATAAACCCACTCACTGTTTTAATCACACTCTTGATCTGGTTCTGACATATGGCATCAAAACTGAACACTTAATAGTTTTTCCCCATAACCCTCTTCTGTCTGACCATTTTCTAATAACTTTTGAATTTAAATTAATGGATTATACTCATGTGGGAAACAATTCCACTACA